AGCACCCCTCCCTCTGATTTACAAAGGGATGGAGAGGAAGGAAGGAAGGAAGGAAGGAAGGAAGGAAGGAAGGAAGGAAGGAAGGAAGGAAGGAAGGAAGGAAGGGAGGGACTCCTTTCTATGAGCAGCTGCAGCTAAACCTTGACTATCCCAGGGTTGAGACCACAGGTCCAGCACAGCAGGAATGGATTCATATCTGGGAACATCTGTAACTTCCGACAGGGGTTAGCTCTCCACCAGGCGCTGGAAACCAAACACTCCTCAACTGTAGTCTGTCCATCCGTGACTCTACGAGAACTGGGAAGCTGCTGCTTTTGCTATGTGCTGACCTTTCCCAGAACAAGTCCGACCTGCAGCTCCCTGCACTGTGTGCGAACCGTCCCTTCCCTGTAACTAAGGCAGGGTCTGGGTCTCTTCTGGACCCTGGAGTAGCAGAGATCTTATTCACCACTTGCTTTATCGCCAGTCCTTACCCTGTGAACTTGGCACGTAGTAGACCTGAGAAAACCCTTAGTGCAGGCAGAGAGCAAGGGAAGGAGAGGAGAGGAGAAAGGAGGAAGTGGGGTTCATGGTGGATAGTGAAATTGGGGCAAAAAAAGAAGGGACCCCCGCGCCCTGTAAACTACTACTGCCAAGACAGGCATGCCAGCAAGATGATTTCGGATTCCTCTGCCGTCCTATCTACAAGGGCAATCAAGGCATGGAAAAAGCACACATGAAGCCCAGGACACCCTGCTGGCACCCAGGGGAAGCACCATCCTGGCTGGACCCCGTGGCTGGCTAAGGGAGCTGCAGAGACATGAATGAGCCGTCCGGCTTAAAGGTCCCTTTTCACGACGGTGCCAGGCTCAGCGCTACCCCAGGCCCTCACCAGAGCCCCATTCGGCATGCAGCAAGAAAAGCCGCCTCTGCTGACGTCAAACGCGAAGACATGACTGGAAGGCTTTATTTTGTCTGAGTGAGGCCTGCATCCTGGGAGTTTGCTCTCGGAGGAAGCAGACAGTGAACACACACAGGCTGGGGAGGATGTGGGTGGCTGCTGGACCAACTCCGACATTCCTCCATAAACTAAAGATGGGCCAAGGGTAGAAACCACCCCCTTTGATTATGCAGCAAGCTGAACTTGGCCTCCAGGAGGCCCTATTGTCAAATTACAATGAGAATAAATTCTTTCACCATCCAGGGTCAGGGGAGGGTAGCGACATTCTAGCGTTAAGAAAATGAGCCCACGGTCAAATCCCCGCTGACGGTGGAGAGCGAGGGGTGATGGTCTCACAGTGCAATTACCCGGGAGATGCTTCTAGCTGGGTATGAAAAGGAAAGTGCCCACATTCTAATCCAATTCCACTCAGCACTGCGGTCACTAAAAGCGCTCCACAAATGTTAATAACCACAGCGGCCGACCCTCCACAAAAGCTGCCCTCTCCCTACAACGAAAACGTCAGAGGGCTCATTCTGCTCCCCTTTCAAAGGGGTAGTTGTAGCCTAGGAAGAGACCACTGCTAGAAAGCCACTCAGAACCCTGCCACGGCCAAGGCTGGAGGGAAAAGACTTGGTTCACTCCCAAGAGCCACGCAGGACCCACCTGAGGGCAGCCAGCCAGGAGTGGCAAACCAAGGACTCAGTGACAAATCCTAACAGCCAGCCTGACATTAAGCACCTGACCCGTGACAGGCGGTGCAAGCACTGTGATCTTTGCAGCCTTTGTCATGCAAGGTTCATCCTCCTGCCACGTCCCTGGGGGCCCCTCCTGACCCCTCTCACCCCACCGCCCTCTCTCTGCATCCTTCCCATTCTATCTTCTTCAGAGCATTTGACACCAGGTAAAATTACCTTTCTTCTCTGTGTGTTTGTAGCATATGGAGCCTGTTTCTGCGGGACCCGAGAGCTAACAAAGGTTCAGACATGTTCAGAGGGTTGGAAGGCGATCTGCAAATGTAGCTCCTGCTTCACAGAACCGAGGGATAAACCGAGCCAGCACACTGAGAGGCAGTACAGCCTAATGGCTAGGACTATGGCTCTTGAGGGCTGGCTAACTAAAACCATTCTCTAGCTCTAGGACCTTGGGCAGGTTACACAACCTCTCTGTGCACCCGTTTTCCTCATTCATCAAGTAAACAGCAACAGTGCCTGCCTCACTGATCCCTGTTGGGACTGCAGGCCAGGTGCTTAAGAACAAGCCTGGGCCAGGGTTCATTTTTTGACCTAGCGGGGAGTGTCCCTTCCTTTCTTCCTTTCCTCCTCCTCATTCCTCAAGGGACAGCAAGTGGAAGTCTTAGGCACAGAGACCACATTCATTCCCCAAGTTCATAAAGGACAAGCCGATCTCAGTCCTCCGAATTTAAACAACCAAGCTCTGAACAGCTGGACCACGATGGGCACCATGACCCATGAGGCCCAGGCCAGGCTGGAGGGAGAGCAGCCCCAGGACCACCTCCCCCATCTCCTTCTGGGGAAACAGAGGGTCACTGCTCAAAATCAAAAGCCTGCCCCAAGACACCCACTCAGCCTCGACAGTCAGGGACGGGGCACCCCTTGCTCCCTGTGAGCACCCGCCTTGTGCCAGACACACCCTACATGGAGGGAGCAGTTTGTCTCAGCCCCAGCCCTCCAGGTGGGAGACGGGAGGAGAGGCCAGGGTCCTTTTGTGCAATAAGCACAAATGGCCAGGGGCTACCAAAGAAAGGTGCAGACGCCGGCCCCGCACAGTGGAGGAAACCCCGCTCCTGTTTTCCCACTCTCACATCTACAAAGAAAAACGGAAGTCAGGAAAGGGCTCAGCAGGAAGAGATTACCAAATGTCTGAAATCCCGCCCCACCCCAAAGCCATCCACCTCGTTCCCACACACAGCCAGGCTGCGGCAGGGAGGCAGGTGCTGGAGCCCGACCGGCGTGGCCACTTCCATAAATGTTCCCAAGTCTAGACGGCACCGTGTGCCTTATAAAATGGTCTGCTTTTAAATAAGGCCACCCTATAGTTTAATGTTTCAACCTTACGACGCAGCAGCAGGGCTGGCTGCGGCCCTGTGAATTAGCCCCTGGTGCCGCCTGCTTCAGAGGCACACTTGGCCTGGCCAGTGCCCACCTCTTGTTAACCGAAACCAGCCGGGCCTCCTCTGTGGGGTTGGCAGACTTTCCTTTTGTGAATGATCCCCCAAACCCACCTGCTCAGCAGCCTCCCGGGCACTCTCTCCCACAGTGGCTGCTGTGCACGTGGGGCAGGGGCAGGGGAAGCAGGGGCCAGAGGCAAGGCTCAGACTGTCCTGGCTGGTGGCTTCTGGCAAGCCCAAACCTCGCAGGCCTCAGTTTCCCACAAAACCAAGGGTTTACTACTCCCTACGTGGCGACAGCAGCAAACGCAGGTTAGAATTAAAACCCAGCCCCCGGCCCTCCCCCACCACCTCCCTCACTGCCACATGGCAAGCAGCGGCAGACAATAATCTAGAACTCTCCGGTAGGAGTTCCCTGGGAGGATGGTTAAAATGCAGATCCTGAGGCCAGGGGTGTGCGGTGGGGCCAAGGATCCTACATCTCCAGCAAGCTCCCAGGTGCTGCCAGCCGTGCTGGTCCAAGTCCCACTTTGAGGAACGTGTCAATGGATATAGTCCATGACTATATCCTTAGCATCAGTGATGACTGATACTCAGCATGTGTTCGCTGTAGGCAGATAGACCTTATTCCCTTTAGTCCTAACTACAGCCTCATTTTACAGGTGAGAAAACTGAGGCACGGAGAAAACAACACTGCTGCAAGTCAAATGTGGAGCGGAGAGCTGAGGCCCGGCGGCTAAGCCCAGAGAACACGGCCTCCTGAGGCACAGATACAGGTGGAGCGGACAGTAACCACGGCAGGTGACAGGAGTCCCCAGAAGGATCCAAAAG